AGCCTGCCTGCTCAGGCATCCTCTCCCGGGCCCTCTCTGCCTCCTGAATGGCTGCGTCACCCGAGTTCCAGCAGGGAGAAGATCACAGAAGGCCTCCCCCACCTTCCCTGCAACCTCCGACTGCAGATACTGCAGACATGTCCAGGCAGCAGACAAACGCAGATGTTTCTCTCTGATCTCCATGATCACGCCTCACTGCTCCCTTCCACGTCTGTGGAAGAGGCCTTCTCAGCAAACCACTCACAGTAACTACCACAGGAGAAGGTGTCTTCTGGCAAGTGTCAGAAGTGAGTGGCGGAGTCTCTCCAGACCTGGGTGTAAATAATACTACCTAAAGTACACATTAGAAACAAAGATCTCAGCTTTGCTTCAGTTTCTGTTATTTTAACCATCACCCAGATGACTGTCTTGCGGGTGGTCTGGAGACCACACTGCCCACAGCTTCCTCTGTAAGGTCAAGGCCAGAACGGGGTGCCAGGCCTCAGAAGTCTTGCCGCCAAGCCTGTCTGTGCCGCAGTGCGCCCGCCTCACCCACTTCTTGGATTGCACTTGGAGACCTGGTCATTCCCTGCTACTGAGGCCACCTTCCTCCTCCCCAGCCCTCCCTCCATCCCACATCACTTTCCTGGGCACTAGACCCATGCACGCCACATGCCCCTGGATGTTGGGCTTGCATGGCCTGAGGACCTCTGAGTGACGTGCACATTCACACCCTCTCCCCTCATGCGCCATCCTCCTGCGTGCACTCTCTCAGTGTTGGCACCTCTGCTCACCTGGTCTAAACAGAAACCTTGAGGTTCCCACTTGTCTCCTCCCTTGTCTTCAACCTCCATATCCAGTCAGGCCCCGAATCTGTTGAGTCTCCTTGCAACATTACAGTGTGACAAATTCTACTGTTCAATAGCTCTTGAATTCAACCTCATCTCATCCCCACTGTGTCCTGAGGAAAAGGGACGCTGATCCCTGGTCATGTTGCCTTGGTAGGCTGAGAGACATCAGACAGCACAAGGGTCACACAGCGAGGAGAGAGAGGCTGCTCGGAGGGAGAGAAGCAGAGTGAACTGTTCAATAGCTCTTGAATTCAACCTCATCTCATCCCCACTGTGTCCTGAGGAAAAGGGATGCTGATCCCTGGTCATGTTGCCTTGGTAGGCTGAGAGACATCAGACAGCACAAGGGTCACACAGCGAGGGGAGAGAGGCTGCTCGGAGGGAGAGAAGCAGAGTGGAGCAGAGAGGAATTAGCTGGAGGTCACCTACAGAATTTCGTGAACTAGCAGAGCAGGCTTTCCAGGGCAGGTGGTTTAGGAAATGTCAGTGAGGATTCTCCTGGCAGACACTGCTGATCTGGGGAAACTGGAGAGTATTTCCCCTCCCCCAGCAGCATGCTTAGAAAGCCAACAGGACCTGCCACACCTGCCTGGTGTAGGTCCTCAGTGTTCTCAGCCTAGACTGTTAAAGCAGCTCCCTGCTGCCTCCTGCCCAGGAGCCTCTCCAAGTCATTCTCCACACTGATGCTGGGGGATCCTTCTCAGTGTACATCTGTCCCTGTCTCTCTTTTTTTGCAGCTCCCCATCACCTAGAGCAGTGAGTCTCAAAGTTGATCCCTAGACCAGCAGAACCAGGATCACCTGGAAACTAGTCAGAAATGCAGATTCTTGGAATCAGAGACTCCGGGGTGGGCCGGGCTCCCCTCCTCCCCTCTGCGACCTTTCACTGCTTGTGCACCCCCCAAGGGCACCCGGCTTTTGTGCAGGTTGTTTTCTCCTGAAAAAGTTCTTTCCTTACAAGCTTCCAGATAAGTTCATATTCCGACTTCAAAATTTATATACCTCAGGTGCCTGCTGTCTGTGTCCCACACACTTCTCACATGCTGTGACTGCCTTCACGTGGCTAGAGGTGTGGTTTGCGTGCCAGCCCCCCTTGTGCCATTGCGGATGTGCACGCTCACAGGGCAGCACTCTATTCTTACCCTTCCTTGACCTGGAAGTCCAGCACAGAGCCTGTGCACACTGGAGAGGTTAGTAAACATTTAGTACCTGGCAAAGTGACTGACTGGCTGGCCAACTGAATCCTCAACTCGGGAAGAAAACTAAAATGAGCCTTAGAATCAGCAGAAAATATTTATTTGTCAGCCAGCATGCTTTTAGGTATAATATTTCCACAGCCACTGCCCAACAGTATCAATTACCTATCAAGCAAAAATGGGTGAGTAGAAGTATTATTCCAGTTTGTAGACTTGTTAGAGTAATGTAGAGATAATTTGATTATCTTAGTTGTAACATTTTAATTTACTTCCCAAACCCTTAGTGTAGACTTAGCCTGATGTTGTGTAATACAGGGAACAGGCTGTTTTGCGTGATTAGTTATTATTTGTGTTGACTTTTTGAAGGTCACCGTACTTGAAACTCACAATAGCTTGAAAAATGAAAAGAAGTAAAATAATCTTGAGATACTTGTCTTGCTAATTGCCTTGGCTGTCTTATGGGAATCCTAAGCATTTCTTTCCTGACATTCAAGACAATTCTTTACAGACTTCTCTAATGATCTGCTTCAGAGCATCAGCCTCCAATAAGCAAACAAACAAAAGTTAACCTCTGTCTTTCTGTTTTCTAATGCAAAAGGTATCAAAATATTCAGCGAACCATTGCAACAGAGAGGCCTGAAGAAGACTCTGGCAGCCAAAGCAGTGAGCAAGTCCCAGCAGGAGGAGGCGGAGGTGGAGGGAGTGACTCAGAGGCCGAATCTTCCCAGTCGGGCTTAGGTATTGGAGGAGGGGCCCCCAGACACTGGGGTGGCTGCGTGGCAGAAGCGTGAGAGCCCCTCGCCCTGCCTGGTGGGGTAACGGTTACCCCCGGTTAAGAGGACGGGATGGGCGGAGGAGGAGCAGGTGCCCTGCTGCAGACAGGGCGGAGTGGAGCTTCCCCAGGACGCTCAGGAGAGGTGCGCCCACAGTAAAGAGAGCCCCCCACCCTGGCTCGGTCGTGCAGAGACAGCAAAGCCAATGAACTCTGGGGACAGGCTGAGTTGGCTACGGTACTGGTGCATCAAGACCGCTTTTTTCGTGCTTTAGTCATTTGTTGTTAAGTAAATTTATTTGTTAGTGTCCTTAAGACTTTCTGCCTATAAAATAGCACATGCAATACAAATTCACAGTCTATGTCAAAGGAGCCACCTGACAACACTAGGATGATTACTTGTTTGCACTTAGAATAAAATTCAGTATCCCCCCCCTGAGGACCCAGGGAGCGAAGAGGTTTTGCAGAGGCCGTGCTGAGCACCAGCAAGAGCATTTTTACCCACTGTAGCGGCCCCATCGGGGCCTGGCTTTCTCGGTTTTCATTTCTTTGAATCTGCCCAAGTGGAACTCAGATGAGGATAATCCAAAGACACGAGACCGGCTTCCACTTTTCATACCTGTAATGATACAAGATTATCACAGTGACATTCCTAATAATCCACTTTCTTTTTAAATTGGGTTGAATGATGGTAGACTGATTTTCCCGGCTATCTAAGCTAGTCTGGAATATTGGACATTTTCCCGTGATTTTTTTAAATGCACATACACAGTTTCTCCAGCAATTTAAGTTGCTTATATTCTATTCACTTTGCCGGATATGCTAACTAAATGGACTAATTTGTGCTTTTCTGTTATTAGTTTGTCTGTCTGACCTTCTGAGAGAGATGGGGTACAATGGTCAAGAAACATGAGGAAAAACGGAACAGAAAATTTATCTCTGGGTTTGGTATTGGATCAGTTTGCATTCACTGTAACACACCATCCCAAAGTGTACTGGCCTAGACTCACAGCACTGCATTTAGCCCGCAGTTCTGTAGGTTGGTGACAAGCTGAGCTCAGCTGGCCACTCTGGCTGCTGCTGGGGTCACAGTAACACACCATCCCAAAGTGTACTGGCCTAGACTCACAGCACTGCATTTAGCCCGCAGTTCTATAGGTTGGTGACAAGCTGAGCTCAGCTGGCCACTCTGGCTGCTGCTGGGGTCACACACATCTGGGGCAGCCGTCAACTTGGCCATGGGCTGATGGGTCTGAGGAAGCCTCAGCAGGGTGGCTTGTCCCTGCTTGCCATGGCTTCTCCTCTTGCAGCAGGCTGGCCCCAGCTCACTCTTGCGGTGGTGGCAGGGATGCTAGAGAGAGAGGACATGCAGGCTCTTGAAGCCCTGCCTCAGAGCTGTGGTGCCATCACTGTGTCCCCTCTGCACAGGCCAGCCCCTCAACAGGGGAGGAGCTGCAGAGCCACTGCAGAGCATGCGACACAGCGAGGGGAGAACTGGCCCTTTCTGCAGACAATCTGTCATATCTGTGGTCAGCAACTTGTAGAGAAAAGGAGAAAAGTCACTGGGACAGGGAGGAGATGCTGGAGCACTTGAGGCAGACTGAAGCTGTGCAGGAACTCCGCCAGGAAGTGACGCTTCGTGACTGGCGTGATGTGGCACCTGGTCATGTTGCCATCAACAATGACGGTCAGCTGGGTGGGTGGACATTGTTTGCTGCTGCTGAGGTGAGAGAAATACTGTCTGTGAATGGCTTTTCCCCAGAGTGCTCTGTGGCTTTGCTTCACTTTCTGCAGATCTGAGGAGAGAAGAGTCACTTTCTCCAGTGAACTCACAAAAAATCACCCTGCTGCTGCAGTCCCCGGCGGTCAAGTTCATCACCAACCCCGAGTTCTTCACTGTGCTGCATGCCAATTATGTGAGTGCCCAAAACGCAGAGGGGGCCTGGTCTGGCTCCATCCAGACCCAAAACACAGCTTTGTAGGGTCATTTGGTTGATCAAAGAGGGCAGAGCTTTGCCCTCGGACATCACAGTCTGCTCTTTACTGTCAGAGAGTCTCTCAAACAGGACAAAGGTTGGATTCGGAAATGCTGTTGTCTCTTTGGGTTTTTGTTAGGCTCAGATGTGTTAATGTCTGTAAAAGTGTTTTGGAGCATATACATATTTTTATTACCGTTTAAAGTTTAAAGGAATAAGATTTTAA